TGGAGTCTCCCGCAGAACGAGAATGGACTGACCTACCTTAGGATCATCCGATCTATTCATATACTTCTCATTCAGTCGTGCTCTCTCTCAGGATGCGAGACAAAAGCAGCGATGAAACAGAACTCCCACTCCCTACTCCTCCCACGTATATTCCGTGCGTTGTGTTTCTTCGGTTTTGTCTCCTCTCGGATACGACTTCCGGTGCCGCGGTTAGATGCGACTCTCAATGGGATGATGCGTCTTTCAAACCCGCGGTAGGTACGTCAATTCCGCGATTATTCGTGCGGCCTGGAGAGAGGGTCCTCTTCTTTCCGCTTCCTATCAGTTTCACGGATTTCCCGTTTGTCTCGCGAGCACAATGCACCGTGCCCATCAGACAGAGAGAAAGAGGGAGCGGGGGAGGAGGGAGAGAGAGAGAGAGAGAGAGAGAGAGAGAGAGAGAAAGAGAGAAAGAGAGAAAGAGAGAGATACTCGCATCGATCTTGAATAAGATAAACCTCAAATGCGTCGGACACGCTCTTTTTAAAATTAATGTTTCTTTTACGAAATGCACGTCGTTTCTGTTTACGAAAATATATATTACTCTTTCAAATTTAATGTTCGTTTTATACAATTATTTAAAAAATGTAAAAGCACAATATGAGACTGATTATAAACTTAAGTACAAAATGCGAACGAAACTCAGGTTTTCATTTAAGTTTATGTAAAATACAATGTCAATTTTATATGTCATTAAAAATGAAATTATTATTTTTCCATTCGCTCCTTTTCTCTCACAAAAGTCCTTTCGTGTAAGATTGCTCCCGATGCAACGGAAGATTCGATGGCTGACCTATTGTTTCGCCGACTTGTGAGTCAAGGGTTAACGGATTTTAGGTCTTATAGATTATAAGATCCGTTGAGAGCACGTACCTTTACCCAGTGAATCGTCGAGCCGTGGGAAGGGAGTTTATTATAACGCGAACGCTGTAGACTACCTCGCGTGTTATGTACAGCTAACTGCCAAAAACGACAGTGTACAAACGTGCGGTGTTTGTCGATAAAATTATTATAATTTCATCAAAAATCTATGTTAAAAAAAGTCAGATCAACAGGCTCTAATAATAAAACGATAAAAAGAAGGGAAAGAACAGGCAATAAGAGCCAACACAAGATGTTAGATGTAAAATATATGTATATAGTTTAATGTATCTGTATGGAAAATCTCTATTTTAACGTCAAACGTTTCGATCAACCAAAGTGATTCTTCTCAATGATATAAAAATAAGTCATTGATTACAGCACAACGGCCGTTTTATAAAGTATAGATTATAAGCGAAAATTAAATAATATACGACTTTATAAATCTATGTTAAATAAAAATAGGTTTTTGAAATTCATCTTAAATCAGTACTGGAATGAGAGAGAGAGAGAGAGCTCTTTTTAAAAAATTTGTAACAGTAAAATACATTAAGCTTGATATTATGTATTCTGCGTTTTTTTGTGCAATAAATAACTGTAATGTTTGATTTGACGAAAAAGTATACCGCACTTCTACTTTCCATTTCTTAAACCTAGTCGCCCTAAGAGAGCCAGAGGCGAGGTTAATAATAAATTCCGCGCAGCAACATGCCAGAAATAAATGCAAGTCAACGGTTCATGCTAGAGGCCAGGCTTGATGTGTCCGTCTTTATGCGCTGCACTGTCCATTGTCCTTCCGCGTCGTTGAGAGAAAACACCAGTGGATCTCGTTAAAAACATTCGTTGAAAATTTATTCCGCGCCATTCACGATGTAACAATAAATTAATGTCAGCGCGTTGGCGCGGGCGAATCTTTTATAGACCGAGCGATGTTACATTGTTAACCAGCGCACAAAGAGAGATCGATTCGCATTTTTTGTCGGACAAGCTCGTTGATCCAATATTTACTTTCTCCCAAAATTTTATTTTTTTCCCCGATGAGGTAATAGCGAGATTTAATTCAAATCTCCGGACTGATGCATTAATCAAATCAAACGAAGACCGCGACGAATAATGGATGATAACAAAGTACCAAGGGTCCGCCGTCATTAGCGAAATGCGATTGTCGCGAATGTTACGATCGGGATTCATTTTGCTCCGTGCAAAATCGCGCCGGGCGAGGCGAGAAACGGCGGAATCGCAAAACATTGTGTCGACCAGCGATGGGCGGGACTTCCGTTGGCGAGGAGGTGGAATGGGGACGAGAGGACGAGCAGAGACAAGACAGGAAAAGAAGGAATGATATCGACGTTGCCGCTGGTGCGCCAGCGCGAGGACCGCCTACTCTTCTTCCACGCTGTCGTCGTCGTGTCACCACCGAGGGACACAAGGGGCTAACCAATCCATTTCCTGTAATCGTGGGACATCAGTGTCTCCGAAATCATTATGAAATCCTTACGAAATGCCCGTGTAATCGTTCTGTCTTAATTGTCAAGTTTCTTCACTTGTTAGACAATAAACATTAAATTAAACATTTTCTCAGTTTGTTTCCATTTGCCCCAAAAAATTACTTCTTTTAGTAAATATCCAAATATACATCATAGTTCACACACTGAAAAAAATTTCTGGTTGAATATGGACGAATCAGATAATTCCTTTAGGATTTACCAGAATTCCTTTAGGATTTACCAGAATTTCTGTACGATTACAGGAATTCCGGTAAATCCTAAAGGAATTCTGGTAAATCCTAAAGGAATTATCTGATTCGTCCATATTCAACCAGAAATTTTTTTCAGTGCACCTATAAGCGCGAATTCTTTTCATAATAAGACTGAAGTAGTTGCTGTTAGAACAACAGCGAGTTGATACACCTCTGCGCGCAAATTTGGAACAATAAACAGTAAATACAAATACAAAATTATTTTTCGTTAAGACCACAGTTAGACTAGTGGGGAGCGAGGAAACACGTGACCGAATACTACAATCTTAATTGAAATTACCTCTGCAAGCAAATACTTCTTGGTAAAATAAGAAAAATATATTTTGAGGAAATTTAACAGCTCTTTGAGGTTTAACAACGTTACATAGTTTTACACGTGCATATAAGAAAATTATTAGCAATTAGATGAGATTGTTTGTAATCAGGTGAAATCGTATGAAATCAAATGAAATCGATGGGACAACGTTTTAGCTAGTGGTTACCCCCTTGAAGGGACATCAGGGACGATGATACGCTCGTCATTCGCGACGCCGTTATCGGAAATTCGCATCGCGGTCGATCTCGCGGGCGACCAATCCGCTGGTCGCGTCCCCGATCTCTCGAATGGCCATTATTACACGGGGAATAGAGCGATGTGGGCGACAACGAGCTGAAATTTTATTTTCCCGCGTCGTAGTTTCCGCCGAAGCTACTGGCCGGCGGTTCAACGCAGAGGACGTCGCGCGCTCTCCGAGGATTGGATCGCGTCAATTCGCTGTGCGGATTTACGTGCGAATTGTTCACTTATCGATGAAAATCGATAATCGGCAGTATTTACGTTTCCCAGCGCGACTGACGCGACGGAAAGTGGAAGCGTGCACCAAGCGTGTAAAAGTTATTACGGTGCTTTCTTCTGGTACGCGTTTGAAACGGTTAGGGGAAAGCTAATTGCAATTGTCGGCGTAAAAGTATTAAAAGCGTTGTATACGCAGGGTTTGTCACGCGAGCGGTATGTCAAAAATAAAATCTGTCGAACGATCGCGGGTAATATCGCGAAGTCTCGAGACTTGGCCAAGACACAGGCTCGTTTTGCAACGTCGGAGTCTCGAAAATGAGTTTTATATAGTACTCATGCCATGGTATGCTTTTATTGCCTCGTTAAATAAGTTCCGCGGAAAGACTCGTAATGTCTTCCGTTCTAGTACAGCAGTTTCCAGGAGCGCGATGGAATCGAGTTTCATTTCTGATTCCCGTTATCGATCATGAAGATTCGCGGGCGATTGCACTACTGACAAAAATTAAATCAACATCTGAATCGGGCTCGTATATTTTTTGTGGCAATTTAAACAAACGCCGCTAATCCCGATTCATTTCTTTGAGACAGATTCGCACATAATTTACGAATGGAATAATTTTAAGGCCTTCGGTAATTATAAATATATCGCTATAACAGTGTAAAGCAATAATGAGATGAATTAGTGGAGTTTAACAAAGAAATAAATACTTTTGCATTTAATAGTAACATGATAACGGGAAAGAAATAATTAATCAAATAGAAGTATGTCTGTAAAAGAGACGTATATGTTTTGTGTTGAATAATTGTAAATGTATTGTAAGAAACGCAGCCTCCGAGCATAAAGAGAGCAAAGAGTTTATTAAAATTACAATATTAGAATATGTATGTTTAAAAGAAAGCAAAAATAATGTTATTTTTTTAAAAATTCCATAATCATTGTTTACCCGTAACGAGAAAATGTGTCATATACCGTTTGCGGCGCATAAAGTTCACATGAAAAATTAAAAAACCGCGACATATTTCTTGAAAGCGTTCTAAATGCTCTTATTCGTCAAGCAATTTAAACAGTAATTATAATCTCCTCGCATGTATTTTCCCATCCGCATTTCCTGCATGTAATTAAAATTATAAAGCTCCGTACTGAACAGTGCCCATATATTGATAGACTATTTTTCAAACGTACGGAGAATAATCAAAGAAAAATATGGGCTGACATTATTTCGTTCTCTCTTTACATGCAGATCCACGAAACGTTTCTCTCCCGGTAACAGATATTTGTTTATTTTATTGATCTTATTGAAATATCCATAATTCGCTGCCGAGACGATAATTGTGTGAATAATCGCGACGTTTAGAGACTATCAGTTTCTAGACTTGAAAATTTGACACGAAACAATATTACAAAACATTTGTGTGAGATACGTAGTTTCTTTGAAACGGGATAAAAAAATTGGGATTGTATAATTAATATTTTACATCTCCCTCGCGCATTTGTTTTCGAGGCAGACGCGACATATCTGTCGCAAGACGTATCGCCAATGATGATAAATGAAAATCGCTACTCACCCTGTGCCAGTCTTCTCGCCACCGGCTTGGATCTCATCGCTGCACGACGGGTGGCGAACTCGAAAACAAAACACTAACCGTAAGAACGTCGCTGACAGTCCTCCAAGCCATGCGAGTTTATACACCGATTTATTATCCTCTCGATCAGTTGACGCTGTCCACCCCCTCCCTTCCTGAATTGTCAATCGGGTGTCGCGACACGCGCGAGTGGCAGCTTCACTCTCGACCGATCGCGGCGAAAGCGATCGAGAAATATTCGCGGACGCTCAGACACGTACCGGGCGCACACGTAGCGGGTAGCGAGAGGCAGCGTCAGAGAGGGTAGTCCGCGTTGCGCGGTCGGCTTCCGGTACGGACCGCGACCGGTCGCGTCCTCTTCCTCCGCTTATCGGTCGGTCGGTCGGTCGGTCGGTCGGTCGGTCCGTCCGTCCGTCCGTTCAGCTGGGATCCTGACGCACGTCGGATCTGTCCTCCGACAGCGCGGAGGAGGCTTCTCCCTGTCCTTCGCGTCTCCTCCTTCTCCGCCACCTTGTCCTCCACCCTCGCGACGCTCTCCCTCTCTCCGCAGCCGAGCTCCCCCGCGAGGTCTCTTCCGCCGCCCCCTCCCTCGCCCCCCGCCGCCGCTCGCCTCTTCTCCTCTCTCCTTACACCACCTCCGTCGTCGTTACACCTCCTGCTCTTCCGCCCTCTTCTGCCTCCTCTTCATGTCGCTACCGGTACCACTACCACTGTCCGCGACACTACCACCGCCGCGGCGGCGTCGACGACGCCTCCTCCTCCGCCTTCTCCTGGCCTTCCCCACCTGCAGAGTCGACCTGGTGGCTTCCCCACCACCTAGGCGACCCGGCTCCGCTGTCCACCAATGATCAGCGGCTGTCTCTCCTCCGCGGTGCGAATCGTGCACACGGCAGCTCTCGCGACCTCTCGCCTCTTTGCTCCTGGGCTTCTGTCCTACCTGCCTCTCTCTCTTGGCCGCTTATGCAGTCTCGTCGGAGGCGGAAGACACCGGGGGCCGTTTGACTACGAGTCCCGTCAATACCGAGACGTATCATGCTCGCCACGATCGATACTTCTCGCGGAAATTTCGTCTCTGTGCAGCGTTTCATTCATGTCTACCGCACGATAATTGCCATGATTTTAGGGCGTTCGCAAGTTTCAGCATCAATGAAACTTAACGTGTTGTTTGCAATCGACGTCGGCGGTAGCTACTAACTTGGCGATATATTTCACACGTGCGGGAAATTTAATTAATACCGTGGCTTAAATTCTAATACCTCGCCAAGAGAAAGAGTGGCGAGAGGTCCTGTTTTTTTATTCTTCGCCGTAATCAGGCTCGGTCTGATCTATCGATTCCTAGATATCGTATAATAAAAATTACGACTTCCCTCGGATATATCGGTGTAGAGTCGGTTTTACGAAAGTCTGGTACCGTATTTGATAAAAGTATCGTATATCGTATCGCTCGATTTCTCGATGTAGTATCTAATTTCGTTGCATCTCTCCTTACGTCTGCTCGAACGCACGTTGCAGCATCCGTTGAGAACAGGTGTTCGCAGGCCGCTCTCTCATTTGCTGACGATGCTGATTGCCGATCGCCTTCGTGTCCAGCCGCTATCGCTGCTGATTGCTGACGTGTAGTCTGTACCGCCCCGATACGAGGTATTCACCACGTGCACAGATTACAAACATTCTTGTTCGATAAAGAGTTATCGGGTAGCCTGCGAATATAGTCGTGTTTCGAATTGCCACGTCCGAGAATTTAACAATTTGGCAACGCGGAACGATCGTTTTTCCCCGCGAAACGCGGCACAGATGATTGCATGATTATTTTTACAAATGTTCGTTAGCAATTTTTCGCTAATAATTTGCCGTTTTCTCTCGCCAACTGCGATAAATGAGAAGCTTTCGCGTGCTTCACTTACGCGTTATAATTCTTTCATCGCGTATCGCATCTACGCGGTAAACATTTGAAAAATTCAGAACGCGCAATTTACGTGTGAAAATCGTTGAGCAAAGATTGCATACACGATACAGCCGTGTATTGGTGCAGCAGTGATGTAATTTCAAATATTTTATTTAATATTAATTTCATATCGTATTTTAATTAACGACGGTTAATTGTCTCTTCGAGCAAACAGTTCAGTAATAACATAACACTCGGGTGGTCGAAACTTTAACGAGATAAAGTAGCGGTATCGTTCGACACATCGTTCGACACATGTCCAAAATCGTTGTATCTTAGGTAATCCTAAGAATCGAAAGAACGAGAATCAAACGTATATATACGATACTCCGCGACTCTCCTTGCAGCGGGTTTGCGTCCCAGTATCGTGGTCGTTCTCGCAATCGCTAATTTACACGTGGCTACACCCCAAAGACATCTACCACCACGCTGTCGGCGAACACGTGGCAGCGGGACAGTATCGATTGATATCCCAGTCGATGCCCAAAACGTTACAATTATTGTTTACGGCGCGAACGCGGGCACTGGTCTCGGTGTAACGTACGGCAACGCCTGGTGTCAGCGTCGTGTCCGAGCGATCCACGTCGATCTGCCATCGATCTCGAGCCGCGCGCGCCCCTTGTCGCCGGTCAAGCGACTCGTCTCGCGACCGCGCGATACGCGAAGCGGATTTTAAACCGGCGGTAGGACGACGAGGGAAACCGGCCGGGTGGAGTCACCACGTCACGTCGACGTCGAACCCCGGCGGGCAACTCGCTTCGCGCCAGCACTTCGACTTTGCATTTCTGGGTGCGTTTGCTCGACTAAGCGTTCCCTCCTCTCCGTCTTCGTCGCACCTGAACGCGACCTCCGACCCCACGAACGGTCGTTCGGCGCGAAACGCGCCCGCGCACCCTTCCGGGCGCAGCTCCGCCCTGCTCCTTCGTCCTTTTCGACCCAGGATCGGCCGGCTTCTCATCTAGCCTTTTTTCACTTCCTCCTGCTACATCCCACCGGGTTTGGCGCGTCTGCTCTCGCGTTCGGATTCGAACGACGAAACTACTTGTTCGAACGAGGGTGAAATCATTTAGGGAAATAACGTTTGTCTCGATTGATTCAAAATTCGCATGGAGATTTGCTTTGCATCGTGTTGTTTACATAAATTTCATATAATTTTATATAATTGTACCAGGAAAGAATTTTCTCTTAAAATTAACAATCCCTGAAAATCATGTAATAGTGGGACAACATATTTTGAACAACTTTATGAGAGTTTTTTAAATTTTACAACACATTTTATTAGTAAAATATATACTAATTCTAAGTACAATTGCTAATAAAATGTATGGTGAAATTTATAAAACATAAAATTCTTCGAAATGCCACGATTATGCGATTTTCAGGATAAATTTCAAGAGAAAATTCTCTCCGTGTGTAGACAACTTTCTCGTCTGTATTCTCTAAAAGTCAATCAGCGATTTATCACTGAAAACAGTGAAGAGTCACTGATTTACAGTTAAAAGTATACCACTGCAATTTTCAGTAGTATATCTGTAACTGCAAATCAGTGACTATTCACTATTTTCAGTGATAATTCATTGACTATTCACTGTTTTCAATGATAATTCAGTGAATAGTTACTGATTGCAATTACAGATATACTACTGAAAATTGCAGTGATATACTTATGACTGTAAATCAGTGACTATTCACTGTTTTCAGTGACAATCCACTTTTAGAGAGTAATGATTCTCTAGGATTCTTCTATCAATAATAACATTATTATCTATAATATTTAGTATTCTCCACGATATAAATAATTGTAATCTCACAAATTACGTAGACCGGTGCGTCGATAAAACGGGGATGACCATTTATCGCGGCGCTACCATTTATGAATACGTTAACGTATAGCGAAAATGGCGGCGAAACTTACTAAAAGAAGCAAGAATAACCGAAATGTGCCGCTGCATCGTTTCCCCGTTATAATTACGCGCGTATGAGCGCCGTACGAGCTTCACGAATCGTAAGGACTCGTTATTTTAACGAGAACTGGCCGCGACTCGCGGCGACCGCGCTTATTGTCGACGGCTCGCCCGAAAGTTGTTGGCTCGCGAATCACGCGGTGCTTGCGCGCGCGCACGATGCAGAAATATCGCGGCGGACCGCGACGCGGGCCGTCCGCCGCGTCGCGACGCGACGCGTCGGCGGTGCGGGCGCGCGTTTATTTTCATCCTGGAAAATCGTAAAAGACCGCGCCGTGTCCCGCCCGTCGTCGTTGTAGAAACGACGAACACGCGCAGCGGCTCCCAAGGGGTTACGGTTATCGCCGCGACTCGTTCGCCGCCAGATCAAAGGATCCAATCGCGCGGTTCGTTCGCGCGGTTCGTTCGCGCCGATTCTATTTCCGCGCGGGATTCCGCCGGGAAAATTATGAGGGAGATTCAATCGAACGGCCCCAAATGAGATTCTTGTGCGAGATCCTCGGTCGCGTTCGAACCCGCGATTTTCCGTCGATATAATACCCACTCTTTAAAAGTCGATCAGTGAATTATCACAAAAAATAGTGACTATTCACTGTTTTCAATAATAATCCACCGATTGACTTTTAGGCCAGTATACATAGTCAGACCTTATATTCAAGTCTCAAGATCATCTTTAGATACTCCGTTGCCAATGAAAAATGTTCCGTACAACATTCTTAGATTGGCATTTTCTCCTTCCTATATAATTCTTAGATAAATTCAATAGTCTTGAAAATAAGATTCGACTATGAATACCGGCCTTGGAGAGTGGATATTATATCGACTGAAAATCGCACTAGTATACTTATAACATTAAATTGGTGACTATTCACTGCTTTCAGTGATAATCCATTGATTGACTTTTAGAGAGAAGCGAAAAATTATTCGTCGATCGATGTCGAAACGATGTCGAATCAATGTCAATTTGACAGTGTCGCTGTCGATTTGACATATTGTTTTGACGAATCATTTCTCGCTGCTCTCTAAAAGTTAATCAGTGAATTATCACTGAAAACTAGTCACTAATTCACAATTATACTTAAGTATACCATTGAAAATCGCAGTGGTAGTCTCTAAAACTCAATCAGTGGATCATCACTGAAAACAGTGACTATTCACTTAAGTGAATAGTCACCTTTTTCAGTGATAATTCAGTGAATAGTCACTGATCTGCAGTTGTAGGTTTACCACTGAAAATCGCAGAATACTTACAACTGTAAATCAGTGACTATTCACTGTTTTCAGTAATAATTGACTGATTGATTTTTAGAGAGTGGGTAACTGCGTTCGGCATTGCAACTCTGATGAGGCGTCAGGATACTCTTTCTCCCTCTTTACCTCATTCTTCTCTCTCGCTCACTC